GCCTGCTTCCTGGCCACGTAGACCAGGTACCCGTACAGAGAGCACATGGTCAGGATGGGCGCCACGATGCCCGCCAGCATCCACAGCAGCACGAAGTACCTGTTGTCAGGCGTGAAGTCGGGGCAGCACAGGAACCGCGACTCGCTGTAGACGTAGCTGCCGAAGCCCAGCAGGGGGAGGGCGGCGTTCACCAGGCAGAAGAGCCAGACCAGGATCAGCACGGCCCGGCTCCGCCCCGACGTCCACACGCTGCTGTAGCTGAGGGCGAAGCAGATCTCGGTGAACTTGTCGACGGTGGCCCAGGCCAGAGAGTGGATGGAGGAGGTCTGCAGGAGCAGGAAGAGGAAGCCGCTGCCCTGACACAGAGCGCCCTCGCCGGGGCAGCAGGAGGGCCAGACCAGACTGTTGTGGACCCCGAACGGGATGACGGAGAGTCCGAGAACCAGGTCACTGAGGCTGAAGCTCAGGGTGAGGCCCAGGGTGTCCGTCCGGAGCTCCTTATTCAGGAGGAGCACCAGCAGGAGGAGGAGGTTCCCAGAGACGGAGGCCACGCCTGACATGACCATCAGAGCGGCGTAGAGCAACCTCAGAGCGGCCGCCATCTTTACACGGACATCTGAGGACCGGTACAGACAGGAACTTCTGTCCCGCCCCCGCAGGGGTCCCTCTAATGTCCACTAGGTGGAGCACTGGTGGACTCTCAGCGGATCATCAACTTCCTGTCTGAGACTTTCAGAATAAAAGCTCCAAAAACACAGACTGAACCTTTAAAAGGAGGAGGAGTTTCCGTGGAGGACTCTCTTTGACCCGGAACCACGGAGAGTCCACCTCCAGAGGAACCAGGACAGACTCACATCTCTGTGGACCGCTGGTATGTGGTCCTGAAGCTGGTGTCAGACCTGGTCCATGCTGGTCTCGGCTGTGAGATCCAGACCAGAACAGCCTCCCATATAAACAGACCTCAGATCCAGAAGGTTGGACCCAGGTCTGCAGAGTCACCTGAACGCCCTGCGGTCTCTCAGCGTCTGTCAGGTTTCCTTTTCATCAGGGACCTGAAAATAAAACAGAACCAGGAAGTCAGTCTGAGGTCACTTCCTCCAACGACAGTCGTAAAACTGGTTTATAACTCAGACCAGTTCTTCCCCTGACCCCCTTCACTCTGACTCTTACTGGGACTCCACCAGACGGACTGGTTCTGTTCCAGTCCGGTACAGTTCTCTCTGATTAACCCTGATACTCCTCGTGTTTCCAAAGCAGACTGGACCGTACGCCGAGGCCGCCTGGCGCTGCCGCCGCCGCAGAGCGTCTTGATTTTTGGCGTGTTTGTTTACAGAGCGTTCAGACCTCCGACCCAGTATTTTTCATGAGTCATGTGGATCTCTGCCGAAATCCACAGCATGACTTTCAAAATAAAAGCCTGAGCTTTCACACAGATGAGGCTTTTATTTTGAAGTTGTGAAAAAGTCAAAGGAGTAACCGGCAGAGCGCCGCTGAGGTCGACTCGTTATCATCAGACAGAATCAGGAAGCACTCTCAGCTGAGACAGGTGTGTGTGTGTGTGTGTGTGTGTGTGTGTGTGTGTGTGTGTGTGTGTGTGTGTGTGTGTGTGTGTCTCTATAACATCACTGTTCCCCTCACACCTGAACAACAGCCTCACCTTCACCTCAGATCAGACTCTGACTCCTCAGTGACGATGATGATGATGATGATGATGATGATGATGATGAAGGTGATGAAGGTCTGAGGATGATCCGGTCCGCTCCGCCCTCAGTACTCGTCGTATTTTTGGATCCTCAGACCGTCTCGTTAAGTCCCCCAGAGCTCGTGGTTAACCGCAGAGATCTGATGAGTCACCGTGATTGGACGAGCCTGAACGCACCGTCAGGTGTTCAAACGTCGTCACGGTTCATCATCATCATCATCAGGTGATCGACCCGTTTCCTGGTTCCTAAAAGTCCACCTGAAGTCCGTCTGATGAAGGTCCAAAAACCACCAGGATGGAGTCTGAGTTAGTCCACAGAGACCAGGTCCTCCTGCGGCTCTGATCCTGGATCTGTCCGGGAAATAAAAACCTCTCGGTCTGAGTCTCGCCAACTTTGACCTTCAGATACAGCGGAGCAAAGGTCAAAGGTCACACCAGACCGAGGACGGGCGTCTTAGATCAGGAGGATCTGAGTTAGATCTGAGAGCGACGGAGTCCGATCATCTGTGAGTGTGAGGAGGACGGACTGCAGGAGGCGTGTCCTGCTGTGTGTGTGTGTGTGTGTGTGTGTGTGTCTCATGAGGCTGTGTTGTCACGGTGCACCTGTCAGTCACCTGCTGAGATGATGATGAGGGAACACACACACACACACACACACTCAGGATATTGGATGTTCATGAAGTGTTGACATTACAGTCAGCAGGAAAGTGTGTGTGTGTGTGTGTGTGTGTGTGTGTGTGTGTGTGTGTGTGTGTGTGTGTGTGTGTGTGTGTGTGTGTGTCTCAGGTAATAACAGGT